CATCAATTTTCTAACAATTGACTATAAGTTTTATAATAAAATTATGTACTTATTTTTTTTATTAGTTGATACTATAAAAAATTAATTATTTATAGATTTTATTTTCAAAAATTTATATAATTAAAAAAGCAAAAAATCCAATATATATATGCAATCTGTATTTTCACATAATAATACAGTATTATATATATATATATAGTTTATATTACAGTTAAAAAAAACTAATAATAATATTAATTAAAGTCTAGTCATAATAATTTACAGACAAAAAAATAATAAAATAATTTATTATTATTATTTTTTCAGTTAGTTTTATTAAAAAGCATGCAATTTGTTAATTACAATCAAAATAATTATTTATGTATAAAGAAAAATCATATTTTATATATAATTATAAATTATTATAATATATATATATAATATATATAATTAAATATAGTTTAGTTGGATATATCATAAAATACTGTAAATACAGATAAAAAAAATCAATAATATAATAAAAAATATAATTTATTAATAGTTTTCTATGATATAATTGCGTATAAATATTAATATCAAATAAATCTAAATTATAAATATTACAATTAAACCATTACTACAATAATGATAATTATTATTAAAACAACTATAATGAATATTTTTAATTTAATACATAATACTATTAGTATAATTAAATCTATTTTATTAATTTTGATAAATTATATACTAATTGTATATAAATATTTACCGAATATAATGATTGAATATCTTAATAATGTTTCAGATATTAAATCAAGTTTTGAATGTATTGAACACTATATTCAATATAATTATATAACATTTTTTCAAACAATTGACGACCAATACTACTACTATAGACGACCATTGAATTGGAAACTGGTTATCAAATCAATTGTATTGAAATTCAGTATAATTTTAACAATTATTAGATTCATTACAAGTGGTACTACTAATAATACCATACTATTGGCACTGTTAGCTGATTTTACACATATACTGGGCAATGGTTATCTAATATCCTATACGATAGCAATCGGTATAATGAGTTTTATATTGATTTCGATAAATCTAATCAATCAGGATTTGACTAAAAAATATCAAAAATTTTGGTCAATAATCTATGGATTGAAATATAGTCGACTTCGGTATCCATTAGATCGTAAACATTACAAAAAGTTTAGACTATTTATTCAATTATTAACATCTATTGGTTTGAAATTAATTTAATCCGCTATTGTTTAGATTGCAAATAATATTACATATACTATCGTCAATATATAGTTACTATTATTATTATCATTATTATCATTATAATAATCAATCAGAAAAATTATTATCATCCATGACATTTATTCTAATAAATATTCTATGGAATATAATAGCCTGGATCAGTTTTATACATTGTGTTTCAATAGCCGGTTATGTGTATCTAATTTATATTCTATCGCTAACCTATTTGATAGTAAAATTTTGGGAAATTTCCCGAAAATTTAGCCGATTATTAATTAACGTTAACAATAGTAGTAGTAATAGACAACTAATGCTTACTATTGCTGAACACCAATATATTAGCCAATTAACCGCTGGGGTTAACCAATATTTTTGTAAAATAAATTATCTATTTATTTATCTATATTTAACATTAATTGTATTTACAATGTATTGTTTGAGACACTATGAAATTAATCTATGGATTAGACTTATAATGCTATTCATAACGTTTAGTAATTTTGGTTTTTTCCTAATAAATTTCATACTATTCATATGGTTAGCCCGATTAGCCCATTCGCCGCTACCATTAATCTACTCATATCTGAATCGCTGGCCTACAATCTCCACCCCCACAACCTCCCGACGTATGCTATCACCGATGGACAGACTCCGTGTCCTCGGATTCATTGAATGTCTAACGGGTCCGACAATTGGTATCTATTGTTATGATTTATATCCGATAACTAGTTATGAATTATATGATGTTATCATATATTTTGCAAATATGTATTTTCTGTTTATTAGTACATTTGATTGATATATATATATAAATATATATACATATTTTTATGATAATAATAATAATAATAATATTAATTATTATCTATACAGTTATAATAAGTATTTAACAAAAATATTACTGTTTATGTTTTGCAAATAAGCAAATACTACATTCAATACAATTACATAACCTTTTATTAATTAAAAAATTATTTTATTAAATTATTCCATCAATTGTCTATCAAATAGTTATAACAGTTATAAAAACGAGTATCAAATATCAATAATTTTTAAAAATAAAATATATATATATAATATATATATTTTATATTTTAAAACTTTTACAGATTCATTACAATTTAATTATTAGTATTATTATTAATGTATTAATTTTTCTTTATATATATATACCCGGTTTGTATAGTATTTTTTAAATATATATTTTTATGTGTTTTATGGGTATTATGCGCGCAAAAAAAAGTATTAAATAAAAAAAACTAACCGTTTTTTCTTCAGTATAGATATGAGAGGATGGGTTGGTTTTTTCGTCCTCATATTTGATGAAACTTCGGGGTATCACTTAGGGGGGCACAAGTTAAACCCGTTGGTGGGGGTAGGGTGGCGGGACACCCGATTGGGCCCATTGGTCATAGTCACGTATACATATATGTTGCCTACCCCAGCCCCCCCCCCGGGGTATACATGTTTAGCACGTTTAGCCATAGGCTTCTATATATAAATATACTGTATATATATATAATTGATAATAAAATTAATTATTATTATTATTATATTTAGGAAAATATAATATTTATAAATAATTTATATATATATTTATATTTAAAATTAATGTGTTTAATACAGTATATTATTTATAATATTAGTAAATATGAGTAATTAGTAAATAATATTTTTAATTAATTAATTTTTTTAATAAAATAATATCAATAATAATAATAATAAGTAATAGTATTAATATAAACTTACATAATAAGTGTCCAAACAATTACAAATAAATTATTGTAATATTATAGTTATTATTATTATTATTATTATAATTAATAGTTAATAATTAGCACACAATTAATAACACAATTATCAATTTATTATTAAATAAAATCACAAAATAATAAATATTGTATAAAAAAAATTAGTTAATTGACACCAAAAAAAAAAATAAAAAATATATCATATATTGAAACACTGGGCACAGGTATGTAGGTATTAGTCATAAGTTAATAACTAACTTTTTTATTCAAGTTATTATATATTAAGTTAAATAAAAAATGAACCTTGATTATATTTGTAACTAATTTGTAAAGTTTATAAACATTTWTATATWTAWAAAAAWTTAAACTTKAATTATAATTATTATTTTTAAAAAWWAAACTATTAAACACTAAAAAACTAAACTTTTTGAATAATATATTGTTGTATTAAATAATTATATAAAATAATGTAAAACTTAATTAAAAAAACTATAAATTGGTTAATAAATTATTATTTAATTTTTGATTTCAGTTTAATTAGACATTTATTACTACATTATTATTATTATWATWATAATAATACAAATAATAATATCTATAATTATATGATTGGTTGTAATCCCCACACTATAGGCGCCAAAAAAATATAATATATATATATAAATATAATATATTATATGATATGTTAATGTAATAATTAATTACTAAATAAATATSTATTTATTTATTTTTTTATAAAAAAAACTAAAATATTAAAATTAATATTTATTTTTAACTATAAGTTTCAAAATTATTAATTAATTCAAATATTAATTATAGTATTTTTTTCCTCAATTTTAATTATTATTATTATTATTGAATACTAAATAATTTTATTTTTAAAATAAAATATTTAGTATATATTTAACTCCACATTATTACTAATATTTAAAAAAAAAATCATAAATATTTATTAAGTTATTTTTTAWATTAAATAAATTTAAATAAACAAACATTATATATCATATATTTAATAATATTATTATTATTATTAAAAATTAGATTTAATTTATTTTTAACAATTAAAAAAAAAACAATTTCATTAAATTACWRTATTATTATTATCGATATATATATTTATTTGAGACATACTTTATTGTTTAATAACTAATAAAAACATTTTACATTTCATCACTTATTAAATATTTCAACAACAAAAAAATAAATAAATAAAACAATAATAACAATAAAAAACGTTTAACTATACTATAAATAATATATTTAAAAAAAACTGTTATATATTTTTAATGTAAAAAATTTATTTATTTATTTTTAAAAATCACATGTAATTTATTTCCACACATTTGGTGTTTGGTTTGTGAGTCTAATAATAAACTTAATGTTAGAGAAAAAAATAAATAATTATTTAAAAAAAAAAAAATAAATTAAATTAAATATAAAATAATAAAACAATAATTTATTTATAAAAAGTAATACTAATATGTATTGAAAGTATATATATATTATTGTCTAATAATAATAATAATAATAATAATAATAATAATAATAATAACAAATAAATAGACAATTAATTAGTCAATCGATCAGTCGATCGGATGGACGACGTGTTATCCGACGGCGAGTTGGTGTCAGCTGACAACTCACCGCTGCCGCCGTCATCGCCGCCGCCGTCAATAAACACCGTACCGGCCGCTGATGATGATGACGATGATGACCACAATTCAGTGGACGAGCCGACGATAACGACAACAACACCGACAACGGTTGGCCAACAATTACCGATACCAACGACGACAACAACTACTATGACAGCGGCGGCAATCGTTGCCGATAGTGATGGCCCGACTACTGCTACTACTAGTAGTGGTCACACTATGACATCATCCGCTATGGACATACCGATAGCCGGGTTGGCGTCGACAACGATAACTGATAACAWAKYGTGCGATGARTTACCGTCGGCGGCGSMGACAAGTGATGACCACTCGATGACAACAACAACGGTGTCCGACGATGACGACCACAACRACGAGGAYATGTCGCAGACGCTAACGGCATCGGAAACATCGATGACATCGTCAACAGTATCCGTACCGGACATAACCATCCAGAAGCAGATACCGCTGGTCAGTCACAAACGTCTATCACTGTTGGCCAAACGTGAACGCCAGTTGGCCAAATTTTTCAAATGTTTRCCGGCCAGCGACGATCCGTACGGTTTGGACGACACAATCGCCGAAAAACGGTGTTTCTTTGCTACCGACGACATACGGGTGTTTAAGTCGCATATTGCTCGCCGTCACCAACAAGTCTACTGTTGTTAYTGTCAGTTTGACTACAAAATGGCCGACGTTTTGACCGCAACTCTATCGGACAGTGCCAGCAATGTCTAYCMGACTGATGAATCTTCGGCTACCCGACTGGTYTATCATATGGTCACCGGTCACGGCAAACGTTGCTTCCAATGTAACAAATGTCTGTTTCGGGCATCAACTGGCCAACATCTACTCGTYCATCAGATTACTGTACACTATCGGCACTGGTATGTAGTTTTTTTGGGATCAATTTCTTCAAATTGTTATGTCTTTTATTTTATTTATTTATTTATTTTTAGGTCATTGTATAACCAGAAGATAACAACATTGGATTCGCTTGAAGATCAAAATGAAAATATATGTAAAATAATTCAATGCGAAGATCTAACCTACGGTTCGGAGATATCGGCGTCCGAATGGATCAAAAAATTTCGGCCCGAAATCAGTGGTCAACTAAAAGAAGACAAATATTACTGTCTGTACTGTTGTTTTAGCGATCATCGCGAGACAAAAGTATTGCTTCATTGTTCGCAACGACATCTCGACTATCATAYCATTGTCTATCGGCTGAAATACGGCCGTTCATTGTTGRCCGCGGCCAACAACAACAACAACARCGGTAACAATAAGTTGAAGACAGTGATGACTACAGTGTCCAAAGCTTTAGAAACAGTTACCATCGATTCGGATCTTGATTTCAGCGATGATGACGATAATATCGAAGTRATTACCGGTACTACTACTACTCCGGGACAGTGTACCGAAAAATGCGATGCAATTCCCGGACTTGGATTCGGTGGCAGCAGTTTTTCCGAGTTTTTTCCTAAGCTTAACAAAAAGTCGGACACTGCSGCGGCGGCKGCTTCGGCCGCCAAGGATGCCATTCCTGGACTCGGCGATCCGTTGCTACCGCCCAAGCGTGAGATTAAACGTGAGAAACGGTTTACGAGCGGCGCAACCAATCAGCAGCAGACCTATCGTCAGTACAAGAAAGAGAAACGACAACAACGRCRATATAATCACCATAATTAYATCGATTATGACCAACCAAACAGTCCAATGGCCACTACCTCGTACGGTGGCGGCGGCCGATACTTTAATCCCAATCCCAGTTGGTTGCCAGCAGCTAATGGGTCGCCGATGGTTAGCCAGAATTATGCCCGTCTATACATTCAGAATATTGTACCCAATGTTGTTGATCCGTATTATACTGATGATACCTATTTGGACGATCAGTATGGATATAATACGGCCAACATTAGCAACAACAACAACAATGTCATCACTAATGATGGTAACAAAACTGATGCTCAGAAAAAGCCGGAAACTTCTGGCGCCGGCGCCAGCGTTGGTGGTTATCGCGAATGGAGACGCAAAAAGCAAATGAAGATGAAATTRATGAAATTTAAAAATAATAATAATAATAGTGGTATACCATCGACATCATCGACAACTGCCGATTTAGGCGGCGTCGGTGATRACGAAGATGATGACGACGACGACRACTTCCCGCCGCCGATCGATTTGGCCGATGTTGAAGCAGATCTACAGTTGAGCGACGACGACGCCGATGAAGAAGTCAACGATGAAAATCWGGCGTCGAAGCAGATGAAGAATAAGCAGAAGAGGAATAAGAATAGACTACAAGCAGTACGAGACGATACTCAAGWCTATTTAGATATGTTRGACAATGAATCAGCAACAGCTGGTCCCAGACGTGGACAACGATTTGAACAGCAACGACGATTCGAAGTCATATCATTGCAACCAAAACCCGCACAAAAAAATGTCTTCAAATGTCTCGTCTGTCTGAACGATATACCAATCAGACGAACACATATAACAATGCATTTGAAAACTGTACACAAAACCGAATCGTCGTTCAAATGTGACCACTGCTGTCCGACTATGTCGACAAATGAGACGCCGTTTATTGGCCAGAAACACGAAATCAATGATCATTCAAATCTGGCCCATCCGAACCTACAGCCGGCCTACTCGAAGTTTATCGTACCGTTCGATCAAAATACTTCAATCGGTATGACTTCGGGTACTAATTTAGAAAAAGCCAAACTAACGGCCAGAAAGTCGACCGGYGGTGTCGGTCGTGGTGGTGGTGGTGGMCGCGGCGGCGGCGCCGTCAGTAAGGGCGGTAAGGGTGCACTGACACAGAGGATACGCGATAGCACTTTCTTGGGTCCGCTCAGAAACGACAGGACCAACAACAACAACAATAGCAGAAAGAGAGGACCCGAAGCATTGGTGGACACTACTACTACAGGCGGGTTGTCGACTGAGGCCGCCGCCCGACCGTTCAAACGGGTCAACAATCGAAGCAAACCGGTAGCGCCAATGAAAAAGCAACGTCGAGTACTGAATCTCGGTAGCGATAGCGACGACGATGATGACAATGAGGAACGTATGGCAGTTGATCCACAGCCGTCATCATCACCATCACTGCCATCATCTACGACAACAACACTACTACCACCACTACCTGTCCGGTCGTATGAATCGTCATCAGATGATGATTACATTATCGACAACGATATGGACAGCAATTTGATGGATAAGCAGCCGCCAGTAGTCAAACGTATAGTCAGTGTAGCCAAAAAGTCAACAGCCAAACCCGGCGGCGTCAGAGGATCTCAGTTGGCAGCCGGCGGTCCGGTATCCATGTTGTCGGCCATACCGGCCGGTGCCGATCGTGTTAAACACAAATACTTTTGCGTATTCTGTACGCACGGCTATATCATTAACGACTATACGGAAGCCATTGAACACTACAAAGGACACCTGTTGTTGGGCTATCTGTGCAATCAATGTTCGTTTAGGTCGGTTGGGTACGGGGAGATGACCTATCACTGGTCAAGTGTTCATAAGGAAACGGATGCCGAAAAAATGGATTTCGGCGATAATATGTCACCGTTAGTGTTGAACTGGATCAACGATTTCCTGGATAATCAACACCGCGACGCCGATCTCGTAGATATTGCCACTGCGGCCGAAGCGGCCAATGAATCGGCTGCGGCCGGCGGTGCAAACATATCCATCGAGTGTCCATTGTGTGTGAAATCGGCTACAATTTGCCGACTAAAACCGCGACCGTTTACCAGCCTATGGCAGGCAAAGCTACATATATGTAAACATTTCCGATGGCTATCGTTAAAGTGTAATCTATGTGCCGAAAATGGCGGCGCCGACGACGGCAGCGGTGGTGGTGGCGGTGGCGGTCCTACTGAAGTACTCTGTCCTAATCATCCCTATGTACTGATGAAACATTTGATTGACGCCCACTTTACCAGTTGCGAGAATGCCTACAACATATCGTTCAGAGGCCAGAAACCGTTCAACGATATCAAACGTGAACAGTTGCGGCTGATTGGCCGCCACTACCAATACATACGGGTGCCGTCAAGCGATATCATCGATACGTTTCTCAATCGGCTAATGGATCAGTTCGATATGGTCTACGAGCAACAGCTACGGCTCAAGTTTAACATTACCAAAGAAGTCAATATCAAACTGGTTAGGTATATGCCGATTAAAAACGAACCAATCGATGTCGATGATGATGATGACGATGATGGTGACAGTGGTGTCGACCATATTATCGGTGACAGTATAGGTAATGACAACAACGACAATAAAGTCGATGTCAAAGACGATAAAAAGGATGTGAAAGCACTGATCAAATCGGAGATCAAATCGGAAATAAAACTAGAAATTAAAAGCGAAATTAAATCCGAAGTGAAATCGGAAGTGAAATCCGAAGTAAAAGATGAGTCGAAAGTGTTTGCGACACCAAAAGCTGAAGATAATGATAATAATGAAGAAGAAGATGTGGACAATGGATCCGATGATGATTTTATGCGTGGATTATATGGCGATTCATACTGTCAAGTGATCAGCGATGATGACAGCGATGACTCCGCTGATGATAATAACAGAACCGATGGTTGTGTTGCTGCTGCTGCTGCTGGTGGTGGTAGTAGTAGTGGTAGTGCTGGACCTGCTAGTGGTGACAATGCCAACAAACGGCCAAACAATGATGATATGATTATATTGAGCTCCGATGGCGAGTAGTAGTAGTAGTAGTTGTAGTCAAACGAAACAATTAGTGATTAATAACTACTACTACTGAGAGATTATCATTAAATTTTTGCATTTAATATATTTATTTTTTAAAAAAATATCTCAAAAATTGTTTTTTATTTCAAATAAATTAATAATATATTTTAATAGCTTAAACAATATGGAAAAAATAATCAAATAATATGTATTATTATTATTATTATTGTTATATTAAGTTTTATTCAAATTATTATTGTTGTTGTTATTATTATTATGGAAAACATTACCATTTATTATAAGCTATTAAATAATTTGTGTTTTAATTATCAATTAATAGTATATAGTATTTTTTAAAAAATACATTGCATTTAACAAAATTTGTTTGATTAACATTATATTACATTTTAAACAATTGTTTGTTTGTTTGTTTTTTCAAATCATTTTATACTATAATTTTATTTTATTCAAATTGTTTTGTTTGTTTTAAAATTTCAAAAAAAAAAWTGTTGTTTGTTTGTTTTTTTCCTCTCATAATTTTATCAATTATTTTAAATTTTAAAATACCACTAAAATTTTTTGGTTTTATCTCAATCAACAAAAATATGTTAGTTTTTTTAATTGAATWTTTTT